CACAATACTACGCATAATGCTAATTATAACCACAATCCTGCTATTATCACAATCCTGGTCACTAATTCCTGTAAATGAATAATTGATCACACGTTTATTTTGAAAAGGAACCTAAGAAGTCATTTGAAGATTCCTAGATGGACGAAATAATGCTCTGGTGCTGTGGCTAGTGCTGTTGACATCGTGAACAGCATTGAATCACTGATATTTGAACATTGTACCCAGTCATTATCACACTCAGGCTCTTCTATAATACTATCATGGCTAAATAATACAAGTTATATATATATTTTGACATTATTAGGCGATGCTGTGGTCACACGCTGAACAGCAGTGCTGTGCGCTCATGCTGCGAGCGCCAGCCTTGGTTGCTCACACACTACTGAGGCTCCCACACCCGGGAATGTGGACCACAATTTTTTTTAAAGATGGCGTCTGTTTACAAGAGCCCTGAGAAAGCTGATGTGAACCCCATGTAGCCGCGGGAGTTTTGAATGGAACGTGAAAAATACAAATACCCGGAGGTGCGGTGCGCAAACCAGACGTAAGCCTGCAGGCGCGTTGCGCAGTTTAAGGGTTAAGTGCTTAATTGCACACTAGTTCTTGCACACTAGTTCTAGCACACTGAATTTTCTTATATTTCTTCGGCATCTGTGTTTAGCTAGTTTAAATCTATGACCTCTTGTTCTTGAAGTGCTTTGCAAGTTCCTGTGCCTGCTGGGCTCTATCGTCTCTACGTTTAACCCTGTCTGGAGTCAGCCTCCACCATTTCTCTGCCTTCGCCGAGAGAAGTTGCTACATGTTGCATGTGGTGCAAGTTGCTGGTGCACGTGTGCATTGGTAACGTGTACCACGGTGTCATGTGGTCCTTGTTCCTGTGTCAGGATGTTGTGGGGTGACATTTTGCTGCTGTTTTGTGCCTGGAGTTGCGTGTCGGGATTGCTTGTCACATTTTTTGTGGTCTTCTCTGTGGTCCCTCTTTCTTTTCTCGTCTTAGAGTGCTTGGCTTGGCCCTTCCATGTACATTGGTTTCTCTGTCCTCACCTGGTTGTCTGCCCCTGGTTGTGCTTCCTGGGGTTGAGCTTAGGCTTTTTTGTCCTGCCTCTCCCCTGTCGCTTCCCTGACATCTCCTGGGTTTTTGTCATGTCTGCACTTGCAGCTGTGTGTGGGGTCAGCTCCCCCACTTCCCTTCCTCGTGTGTTCCAATTGTTTACTTCTCTGCCACTGGAATGTTTCCTTCTTGCGTTCCTTTGGCTTTTTGAGTGCTCCTTCCGCCTGGGTTGCGTGGTGCGTTTGCACTTGTGTGCATTCGTCTGTCTTCATTGCTTGTGCCCCTTGGTTCGGGTACTGGTCTGGTGGCAACCCTTTGCCCCTTCTTCGGTTTGGTTTGTTGGGACAGGGCCTGCACCTTTGTGGGTTGGTCTTGTCCCTTTCGTTCCCGTTTTACTGCATGCGTTCTTCGTTCCTCATCTTCTTGCTTCACTCTTGTCCCTGGCCACTGATGCTGGGGCTATTTTTCTGGTCTTTTCCTCGTTCTCTCCTACACACTGTTGTGTGTTTTGTTTTTGCCTTTTGGCCTTCCTGTTGCCAGGTTTGGGTTCCTGTTTTCCTGGTTTTCCCTGCCTGTTGCCATTTGCAGGATCTCGCAGTGTTCCTTTTCTGGAATCTCGCGTCAGACCTGTAGTTTCCGATATCTTGGCGAGCTAGCTCATGTTGGGGAGATTTTCTGTTCGGCAGTCATTCCATCTTCTTACTTGCCGGCTTGGGTTTCTGGCTCTGCTTCCTCGGTGGTCGCGCCCGAGATCTTCCCATGGCTCTGCCCCTTCCTGGGTTCGGATGTACCTTGACGGAACCAGTTAGGTTCTGCCTCGAGTCTCTCACCTTCAGTTGGTGGTCAGGTGGCTTCGTTGTTGGTATCCCACCTGCGTGCTTTTTCTTGGTGGCAGTATGGGGTATTTTGGTGGTCCTTCCTTTTCCTTCTATCCCTTCTTAGGCAGCTGCTTTATTGGTGTCGGCTTGGCGTTTCTGGTGGGGGTTTTGGGGCATCATCTTGCTGCATACTGTCGCCTCGTTTTGTGCGGTGCTGGCGGAGCCGCTTCAGCTTGCTTTCGGTCTTGGTGTTCTTGGTGACCCTTTGGTTCGGGTTTGTTTCTCAAAGGCTCTTCTCCTGTTGGCATTTGCCTCTTGGGGTTGGGTCGCTGAGCTTCTTGCTCTCCTCCAGTGCAGGGGTTTCTGCTCCTTCGGTCGTGGTGATTGTTTTGTTCGGTTGCAGCCATCTCTCTCTTCTGGCATGGGATGAGGCTGTTGCTTTCCGGAGGGGTTCTTGGTTTGTTGGTGCCTGGTTGGTCAGGCCGGGGGTGTATCGTGTTTTGAGTTCGGTTGGGGCCCTCCACTGTTATTTGCGTGCCAGGGGTTCTGTGTCCGGGATGCGCTTTGGGTTGATCCGGTTCAGTTCTTCCCTATTAGCGGATGTAGGTCTCCCGGGTCGTCTGCTGTGTTATTGCAATTAGCTAGCCTGTGTTCCTTCCCCATGCCCCTGGCATTCGTGGGTTCGCTGCGCTTGCTGCCGTCTTGGCGGCATGTCCTAGCCGACATTCGGGCATGGGGCTTGTGGTGGTCATACAGGGGCTTGGCTGCTTGATGTCTCATGTTGTTCCCGGGCCCATTCGGGCCTGTGTCGCCTTGGGTTGGTGGTTCCAGCCAGTTGTCTTGACTTTGAGTTGGGGAGTGTGTGGCGACCGCTTCCCGGGTACATTTCTCTTTTTTCCTCTGTGGGTAGTTAGCTCCAGGGAGCTGAAGGGGCTCCTCCCAGAAAACCAGCGTTGAATGTAATGAAACGCCATTTTCTGGGTGAGATCAGGAGGCTCCCCGGCATCCCTCCCTCCCTCCCTCCGGTCGGCAGTTTTTCGCGTTTTTGACATCCAGCCTCAGAACTGATGGTGGATAGCTGGTGCAGTAGGTCTGGGGCTCCCCCTTTTCCCTGCTGGTCTGGGGAGCTGCGCAGACAGCGGCGCGGCACAGTGACGTGCGACTTCATGATCGTTTGCTCGTTTCTTTTAGGGGAGTTCTATCCACCTGTTTGGCTTGTGGTAGCAATTTTCACCAGAATAGGGGTTTGTTTTGGGACACTTACCTTTCTGGGTGCCTGACCCGGTCGATGGCAGACATAGAATGCTTCCAACCACACGGGGGGTTTCTATAGGCCATTGCTTCCCTTGCCTCCCTGAGGGGGTCAGGTTCTGGCTCGTGGTCCCTGGTAGGCCCATACTACTCCATACACATGACTGATGCCAAAGTCTGATATTAACATATCAGCCTGGATAAGCTCCGGGGGAAGCCTCCGGGTCTCGCCCAGAAAATGGCGTTTCATTACATTCAACGCTGGTTTTTTTGCCAGACTTCTCTACCCTATTGCAGCTTAAATATGCCACCTACGATTTTTTTATTTTTTCCATGATCAAGGAACACAAATGAACACTTTTATAAGACGAAAGAATTTTTTTGATTTTTTTTTTTTTGTTGCGCCTGTGGGTGTTGAAGACATTTGGACCCCTAGCAGCCCAAGGGTTAAAAGCAATTCTGAAGTTAAAAAGTGTAGCATAGGTTCCTTGTACAATATTCTTAATGTGGTCCTCAGGTGACAGTTTTCTATCTAGAACCACCCTAGATCCCTTTCTTTGTTAGAATTCTTTAAAGATTTCTCACATAATATATAGGTTGTGTGGGGTCTATGTTCTCCAATTCCACATTCCATAACATGGCATTTATTCACATTAAATTCCATTTGCCAAGTGGTGCTCCATATACAGAGGGGCCTTGATTTACGATGGTAATCCGTTCCCAGAGACGTATCGTAAGTCGAAATATCGTAAGTCGAAGTGATTTTTCCCATAAGAAATAAAGGGAATTGGATTAATTCAAGATTAATTGGATTAAACTCACACATTCAAGGTCACGTGTATTAAATTTTTTCCCCCAACAATACTGTTTGCTGTGTTATTACACTATATACACACATTATATATAAGTATCTACATGATGTATGCACCGTAACTGTACACCTAAGCTTATAGGGTGCCCATAGAGCATAGTGACCACCCTCTACACAGCTAGACAAGTCATGCAGACGACACTACCTCCGTCACCCAAATGACTCCTCCCAACATAACCCTTTTGCTGTTATTACACTAATACACACATTATATATAAGTATCTACATTTGTGTTCACCACAGAGAACCACTAAGCTGGTATGGTGAATGCAGACAATAACAGGTGGCTACACATTCGGTAAACAATGCCATCTCCCTCCGTCCCTCAGCATCACTCCTCCCACAGCGCTAATTATCACAACAATCCTGCCATTATCACAATCCTGGTCATTTTTATCATAGGGGTCAAATGTAATACTGTCATCACTAAATAATAGCAGTTATATATTTATTTTGACATTTTTCGGCGATGCTGTGGTCACAAGCTGAACAGCAATGCTGTCCGCTCATGCTGCGTGTGCCAGTCTTGGTTGCTCCAAAAGTACTGTGGCTCTCACACTGGAGAATATTTCCCACGATTTAAAAAATATGGTGTCTGTTTACAAGAGCCCTGAGGAAGCTAATGTGAACCCCGTGTAGCGGGCCATTTGAATTGTGCCTGGCACCCTATGGCATATATATATATGCCATGCACACAGTGGGACATGTTACTCATGGCATATATATATGCCATGCGTAGTTTAAGGGTTAAACAGCTAGATTTAAAAATTTTAATGTTAAGATTCAGCATAAATTCTTTAGTGTAAATCTTCAAACTGCATATAAATGTCCTAAGTATTACTATAGCCAAAATAGCACCTTGTATTTACTTATATTGAAATATGTTAACTCTAAGTGTTATCCAAAATGCTGTAGATTATTATTGGCTTTGTAAAATATGTCATTGTAACTAGCATTATTATATGTGAATTAAGAATGATCAAATTATTATTATTATTTTCTGTGACAGATACAGAAATAATGCATCTTCGTGCAGCAAAATCCACTTTGACTGACAGTGTGACTCTGATGATGAGGGAATTAGAAGAGGCAGAGTTACCTGCTCAGAAAGCCCAAAGTCATGCTGAACAGCTGAGAATAAGGGTAGGAATATTTATACTCAACAATATTTGTCATTTATTGCTTGTAAGTGCTGACCTGTAGAGTTGGTCAATCCCTTCTCCTTTGGGGGCTTCAGATCTCTCTGGGCAGGCTTCCTCCCCACATTTAAGTCAATTCTGGTTCATTCTTGAACAGGGTGCCAGGGTGCTTTCCTTGGCCTTCTGAGATGCTTTTTAGCAGGTCCTTATCCCAGGGCTATCTTAACAGCATTATGGGCCCATGGGCAAACCAATGTGCTAGGGCCCTTACAACAACCACTCACAGGAATAAAAAATAAATAGTCAATAATATTAAACATATATTTCTGTGGGGAGGCCCTACGGCTCCTTGGAGCTTGTCAGGCTAATGTATGTTATATTAGACCGGGACATTAGCTAAGGAGTTCAGACCTACCAGGGAATAGCGCCAGAACCTGGCCCCTTCAGAGAGGTTTCAGGGAACAATGGCCTTGGAAAACCTACTTGTAGTTGAGGTTTTCCTTATCTGCCATCGACCGGGGTTAAGCACCCAGAAAGGTAGGCATAACAAAACAAACCCCACATGGTAAAAAACTAAAACATAAAACTGAACAGAGAAGTAGAAACTTCCTACAATCCCAAGGAAACAAGCAAACATCACACTTTACTGCCTCGCCGATCGTCCGTGCAGCCCTCCCTGCCCTGAGAGGGGGAGGGGGGAGCCCCAGACCTCACCACGCCAACTGCCTAGCATCAGTTCATAAGCTAATGTCAACCAGGATAGACGCTTCTCTGGCCTCAGTTTCCTAGGCGGTGTTTGCCTTTTGTGGCGTTCACTGGTGTGTGTTGTGTTGTGCAGTGGCCAGGTGTTCATCATCAGTACCGGGGCTGCATGCGCTTAGGGGCTTCCTTCCATAAGCTCCCTGTGAGTACTGCCCTTGCGTGACAGGGTTATCTTCCCCGGGGCGTTCGGGAACCATTCCCGTAGAGGTTCTTGCTTCTCGGCATTTGCCTCGCCCTTGGGGCCAGCTGGGGCTTGGGGCCCTTGTTTGGCCCTGGGGTAAGGACTGGTATTGTGCTGGTTAGGGCATCAAGGTGTTGCGCGACCTGCCACTTAAGCGACGACCGGTTCCTGTTGCCTCTGAGGACAGTGTACTTTTGCGGGGTTTTCCTTTTGTTTTTATTTTCATTTGCCTGGTGGGGGTCTGCCTAGTGTGGCTATAGTTCCACTGGTAGTGTTTGGTGGGCCTCTGCTAGGCCCCCGTGATTGTACACATCGCAGGGATTTTCAGTGTTGTCTTCTACCCCCTTGTTAGTTTTGGGTTTTAACCGGTTAGCAACACCTTGACCGGGCTTCCTGTAGTTGTTACCCTACAGGCCCTGGAAAATCCTGTCAGGGCTCAGTGGACCATTGAATGTATCTTCCAGGTTCCAACCCGTTTTGTGCAGGTTTGTTGGTTGCTCTGCCCTTGTCTCCGGGTGACAGTCGCCACTTTTACCTCTGTCATGTTGCCTGTTGGGTCACTGACACCTTGACCCGTAGTCTTGTGAGAGATATTCTCTGCTTGTTCTCCAGTACTCTCCTGATGTTCTTACTTTTTCAGAGTACAGGCAGCATCTGTGTTGCAAGCTAGGTTAGGTTGCTGCAACACGTTAGGTTGGTTTCCCACTCGGATGCCCCGGGGCCGCCCCGTTATGGTTAAGTGCTGTTCGCCCCTTTCGCTCCCTGTTCCCGGCTCTGGACCATATGCGGGTTTCGGGGTCAAGGCGGGGTTCAGTTGGGGCCGAGATTCGGAGGGTTTCTGGGGCTGCCCCGTTTGGGTTGGGGACGGAGGTTTTCGAGCCTGTTCCTCCTGCCAAGGCTTCTGGGTCTTACCAGCGGCCCTTTCTTGCTGCCTTTCCCATGGACTCTTCCTTTTCTTTAAGGGCGGAGGGCTTGGAGGACGGCTCTGCCCCAGGGGCCTCTGTTGCTGGTTCCCAGGGCTGTGGGGGATGCCTGCTAACAGTTCTGGGGCTGTTTGCCCCTGCCTGGGTTTTCTGCTTCTGGGCGGAGTTTTTTGCTCATCCAGTGTGCTTTCTTCCCACTTTTTCTGGCGTGTTTTCGTATCTTTTGCGTCGGTCACAGCCCCCTCTTCTGGTGGCCACTTTCTTCTGCCGGTTTCCCGGCCTTGCCACTAGGGCGGCGTTGCGGTTTGTTTACATGCACCTGGGTGTGCGAGCGAGTCTTGGGTGAGTTTTTTTACTTTTTTCAGGGGTTTTATTCTCCTGTTGTCGTTTCTTTGATTTTCTGGTGTTTTCTGCCCGACTTCTGTTCCTCTGGGAATGTTTGAGTGTTGATTTTACACCGGGTTTTCTGTTTTGTCTCTTTTTGGGTCTAAGCCCTGGGGTTTGGGCTCAGTGTCCCTGTCTGTTTATGCTTGCTCCCACACCTTGTCCCTCGGTTTTCAGTCTGTTTTGACTGTTTCCCTGAGGGTTCTGTCTGGGGGCTGTGCTTTGCCTTTGTGTGGTGTATCTCCGCTGGCAAATGTGGTGGTTTGGGCTATCCCGGGTTTGATTCCGGGTTCCTTTGGGTTCTTTGGTTTCGTTCTGGAGGTTTCTTCCTCTTGGGCCCCCTTTGTGGGTTCAGGGGGCTTTGTTTCCTCGTGTGTGACCTGGTTCTGCCTTCTGGGGTTCTGGGGTCTTCCTGGCTTCCAGACTGATCTTTTTGGGTCTTGGCACATGGATGTGGTCGTGCTGGGTCGTGCTGGTTTAGTTGTCGAGGTGGGCCTTTTGATGCAGTTTTGTTCCTTCTTTGCCTGGCCGGCGTGGTGCGCTCTGCCCATTGGTCGGCAGCTTGTAATTTTCTTTTCCTGAGTGTGTGTGTATGTGCATGTGCATACGCACGTGTAATTACCTAAGTAATTACCTATGTGTAGTTACAGGATGAGAGCTACACTCGTGGTGTCCCGTCTTCCCAGCACTCTTTGTCATATAACACTTTGAAACTACTGACGGTCTTGGCCTCCACCACCTTCTCACCTAACTTGTTCCAACCGTCTACCACTCTGTTTGCGAAAGTGAATTTTCTTATATTTCTTCGGCATCTGTGTTTAGCTAGTTTATATCTATGACCTCTTGTTCTTAAAGTTCCAGGTCTCAGGAAATCTTCCCTATCAATTTTATCAATTCCTGTTACTATTTTGTATGTAGTGATCATATCACCTCTTTTTCTTCTGTCTTCTAGTTTTGGCATATTTAATGCCTCTAACCTCTCCTCGTAGCTCTTGCCCTTCAGTTCTGGGAGCCATTAGTAGCATGTCTTTGCACCTTTTCCAGTTTGTTGATGTGCTTCTTAAGATATGGGCACCACACAACCGCTGCATATTCTAGCTTTGGCCTAACAAAAGTCGTGAACAATTTCTTTAGTATATCGCCATCCATGTATTTAAAAGCAATTCTGAAGTTAGAAAGCGTGGCATAGGCTCCTCGCACAATATTCTTTATGTGGTCCTCAGGTGATAGTTTTCTATCTAGAACCACCCCTAGATCTCTTTCTTTATCAGAATCCTTTAAAGATTTCTCACATAATATATAGGTTGTGTGGGGTCTATGTTCTCCAATTCCACATTCCATAACATGGCATTTATTAACATTAAATTCCATTTGCCAAGTGGAGCTCCATATACTAATTTTGTCCAGGTCATCTTGAAGGGCATGACAATCATCTACGTTTCTTATCCTTCCTATTATCTTAGCATCATCAGCAAACATGTTCATATAATTCTGTATACCAACTGGTAGATCATTTATGTAGACAATAAACATCACTGGTGCAAGAACTGAACCCTGTGGTACTCCACTTGTGACATTTCTCCAGTCCAATACATTGCCTCTGATCACTGCCCTCATTTTTCTATCGGTCAGAACATTTTTCATCCATGTTAGAAGCTTACCTGTCACTCCTCCAATATTTTCCAGTTTCCAGAACAACCTCTTATGTGGAACTCTGTCGAAAGCCTTTTTTAGGTCCAGATAGATGCAGTCAACCCAACCATCTCTTTCCTGTAATACATGTACTCACCATGTTTCCATGTTTTGTGGGAAATTCGAAGTTTTCTCGAATATGATTAGAAGCTGAGAAGATTATTCACCTGGAAATATATATCTTAAACATTTAGGCCCACACCAGGATGTAGAGTTTTATTTAAGTGTGCTTGCAACAAAATATAAATATTTAAACATGCTGCTTCTATAACGAACATGTCCTATGCTGGTGGGGCCCCTATGCTCCTGGGGCCCCCCAGGCACGTGCCCATTGGGCCCATGCAGTAAGATGGCTCTGCCTTATCCATCTGAAGTTTAGGGATTGGTTATGGTTTGTGGTGTGGCCTTGAGCTTACCGCTTCTGGGTTCTCCCATTTGGCCTGCATCTGGCTCCGTGTGTATTCACATGCTTCGTGCTAGCCAGGGTTCTGGTTCTTTCCCAGTTCTCTGGGTTTGTGTTCCTGATGAATTGGCTGAAGTCGGAATTGGTTCCTGCTTGGATTTGAACTGGGTGGGCCTTGTCTAAGCTATTGGGTGGCACTGCTGTCCTTGCCTCCGACAGCTTTGTCTCGGCTGCTATACCAATGTCTTTTGGTGTCAAGCCAGCCTCATGTGACTCAGTGGTTGCTCGAGCATCTGTGACGGAGCCTCAACTTTTCCTTCTTTGTTTATCCCCTGGACTGAATTTGGCTTCGAAGGTTGTTCTGGTTCCTCCAGGTCACTCCTTTTTGCCACTGCAGTGACAGCTGAGTGCAGACTTCATTGACTCTTCATTGGCTGCAGAGCCTCCAGCTTGCTTTTTGGGTTTTTCAAGGTTTTGTCCCCAGCAATTTTCAAACCGATCATGGGTGGTGATCTCTTCTTCGTCAGGCTAATTACACTGTGAGAGAGTTTGCAGCTATGTTTGCAGAGGATATGTAGTCCTCTGGGCTCCATTGTCTGACTCCATTTAGACTGTTCCCTCATAGTTTGTTGTCTCAACCAGGGGAGGGTTTGCTTCAGTCCCTGCTGCTTTGGAGCTGGACTCTGCGTGTAGCTCTTCTTATAAGTTCTCAGGATTTGGCTCTGCGTGCCATTCATGTCCTGGGAATGTCTAACGTCCTTGCCGATCTTCTGTCCCGGTTCCATCTCATCTCCATAAATGGAACATTTTTGCCGCCTCCTTCCTCTTGCTCTGTGAGACTTATCAGGCTCCAGGTTGTGGACTTTCATGTTGGCTTGGTTTCGGCGGCTTCCTCCTTATGCGACATATTGCACAACTGCAAGGCTCTAGCTGTGGAAGCATTTTAGCAGGACTGGCAGAGGTAAGTCCCTTCCTCCTGGTAAGGGGCTTTTCCAGAAACCCGTTGTATAATATCATGAAATGCCTCATTCTATTAGAGCCCCCCCTGCCTGTCTCCCCTCTCCTCCAGGTTTGTTGGTTTAAGGAAATGCTTATCCGCTTTTCAACTGATGTGTGTGGGCGGACACTGTTCTGAGCACCAGGCCTCGTGGTGGCGGCATTCAGTACTACAGGATTTTAGCTAATTTTGTGTGTTTTTGCTTTGTTTGGAGAGTTATTTGGCATTTTAGTGCTTTGAGTCTTGGGAACCCAGCAGTTGTCTATAAAGCTCGCTGACTTTCTGCATGCTTTCCCGGTGAAATGGAGGGATGTCATTTGCTCTCTCTGCCTCATGTAAAAGGGCCAGGCTTTGGATCTAGTCCCTGGTAGACCAAATGAACTCATGCAACTGATGTGACTGGTAGTTTGGAGCAATCTCAGCTACTGGTGCTCTAACAGAGAGATATTTTATTACAGTCAACCCTGAATTTATATTTTTTATAATACTTTTAATATTGTTTATATTATGAGATATGATGGTGCATGAAATTTGGGATATCAAATGCAGCTGAATCCCAACTAGTTTATATTATTATTATTTCAGGCCGAGGAGCTAGATGGCTTACTAGCTGATACACGTGAAGTATCAGAGAAGGCGCTTGCTGCAGCTAGTGCTTATGAGGATATTGTATTTTCTATTGATGATGCATACAATGCCTCTCTTTCTGCCAACATGTCTGCTTTAAAAGTGAGTATTTTATGCATTTTATAGTACAGTGGAATGTTGGTATTTGAACAGCTCCCAACATGAACAGTTTGGCACTCAAATGCTGTGTTTGTGTTAAGGATTCAACCGTTTGTTCGGCATTCAAACGTAAACACACGTCCCAGATAAGTCAGTTTCCCAGTATCTGTTGTTCAGTGCTCAACACCACTAGACTCCTTTACACTTTCTAGAGTTTTCTTGGATTTTTTTTATATTCTTAGTGTAAATAAGTCACTATAGCACATAAAAACATTAGTGTTAAGGGCCAAGCAAAAATAAAATTAGTTAGAACCATGATTCAGATGAAATAAGAACTCAGCAAAATATGAAAGTGGTGCACACATGTCTTTTCTTGTTACCAAGTTTGATATGCCTAAATTTAGTTCTCTAATAAAAGAAATGTGTGCAAAATGGGGAGAAGTGTAAAGTCTTCCTGAAAAATATCACTCTGACAAAGCTGTGATAAAGGTAAGGGACTCCTCTGCCAAATAATAACATCTCTCTTCCTCTGCCTCACCACATTTCAAATATAATAAACTCCATCAACTTTCCAAAGTGCAGGTAAAGTGTATACAGTATTTTCGCTTATTTAATTTATTTATTGAATTTATTTATTTTATATTTTATTTATTTATATATATACAAGAAGGTACATTGGGATTGTGAGATACATGGCATAGTAATTACATTCTTGTAAAGCCACTAGTATGCGCAGCGTTTTGGGCAGGTCCTTAATCTAAGAAAATTTTAAGTAGGTAAATACTAGCAAAATTTATAAAAATGATAACAGTTACATAACAAGAAAAAAAATAAAAGATAAAAGATGAGAGAAATTGTAGGTATATTAAAGCACATAGGTAGCTCAGATTGATTGCAATGACAGCTTGAATGGTAGTTTAAAAAAAATTAGTAGGCACAATACAGCATATGGCCAGCACAAAAAAGAAGACAGCAATGAACACAATGATAAAGTTGTTTGGATTAAGTACATAAAGATTGGGAGATTGGGTAACACTAGATACAGAGCAAAATTAAAGCTCAGTGTAGGAAACTACGAAGATGAAATTAAGTATTTTTTGTTTTTGTTTTTGAATGAGGCAAAAGTTTGACAGCTTTTCAGTTCACTAGGGAATGAGTTCCATAGACTAGGTCTCTTTATTTGCATAGTGTTTACACAGATTAAGTTTGACCCTGGGGATATCAGAGAGATATTTATTTCTGGTGTGGTGATAATGGGTCCTATTACATCTTTCCAGGGAGAGTTTCAGAGCATTTAAGAACAGGGTTTTGTAAATGTAGTTGACACAAGAGAATGTGTGGAGGGAGTTAATATTTAGCATGTTAAGGGCTTTAAACAAGGGAGCTGAGTGTTGTGTGAAAGCATAGTTTGTTATTATTCTGATAGCAGATTTTTGCTGGGTGATGAATTAATATATTTATTTCTGTGGGGAGCCCCTACGGCTCCCTGGAGCTTTTCGGGCTCATGTATGTTATATTAGACCGGGACATTAGCTAAGAAGTTCAGACCTACCAGGGACCAGCACCAGAACCTGGCCCCTTCAGAGAGGTTTCAGGGAGCAATGGCCCTGGAAAACCCCCTTGTGGTTGGGGTTTTCCTTATCTGCCATCGACCAGGGTTAGGCACCCAAAAAGGTAGGCATAACAAAACAAACCCCACATGATAAAAAACTAAAACATAGAGAGGTAGACACGTCCTATAATCCCAAGGAAAGAAGGAAACAAGCAAACATCACACTTTACTGCCGTGCCAACTGTCCGCACAGCACTCCACCGCCCCGAGAGGGGGAGGAGGGAGCCCCGGACCTCACCGCGCCGACTGCCTAGCATCAGTTCGTAAGCTAATGTCAACTGGGATAGACGTTTCTCTGGCCTCTGTTTCCTAGGCGGTGTTCGTCTTGTGTGGCGTTCACTGCCGTGTGTTGTGTTGTGCGGTTGCCAGGTGTTCCTCATCAGTACCCGGGCTGCATGCACTTAGGGGCTTCCTTCCTTAAGCGCCCTGTGAGTACTGCCCCTGCATGACAGGGTTATCTTCCTTGGGGCGTTCTGAAATCATTCCCGTAGAGGTTCTTGCTTCTCAGCATTTGCCTCGCCCTTGGGGCCAGCTGGGGCTTGGGGCCCTTGTTTGGCCTTGGGTAGTGGCTGGTATTGTGCTGGTTGGGGTGTCAAGGTGTTGTGGATGATGTACTTTTGCGGGGGTTTTCCTTTTGTTTTTATTTTCCTTTTCCTGGTGGGAGCTGCCTAGTGTGGCTATAGTTCCACTGGTAGTGTTTGGTGGGCCTCTGCTAAGCCCCGTGATTGTACACGTCGCAGGGGTTTTCAGCGTTGTCCTCTACCCCTTGTTAGTTTTGGGTTTTAACCGGTTAGCAACACCTTGCCCTGGCTTCCCGTACCAGTAAGCCTACGGGCCCTGGAAAACCCTGTCGGGGCTCGGTGGACCACTGTATGTGTCTTCCGGATTCCAACCCATCTTGTGCGGGTTCGTTGGTTGCAGTGCCCTTGTCTCCGGGTGACAGTCGCCACTTTTACCTCCATCATGTTGCCTGTTGGGTCATTGACACCTTGACCCAGAGTCTTGTGAGAGGTATTCTCTGCTTGTTCTCCAGTACTCTCCTGATGTACTTACTGTTCAGAGTACAGGCGGCATCCGTGTTGCAAGCTAGGTTAGGTTGCTGCAACACGCTAGGTTGGTTTCCCACCTGGATGAACCGGGGCCGCCCTGTTTTGGTTAGGTGTTGTTTGCCTCTTTCTCCTCCCTGTTCCCGGCTCCTGACCGTCTATGGGTTTTGGGGTTGGGGCTGAGACTCCCGTGGTTTTGGGAGCTGCCCAGTTCGGGTTGGGGACAGAGGTTTTCGAGCCTGGGCCTCCTGCTGAGGCTTCACTGGGTCTTATCAGCATCCCTTTCTCTGATGCCTTTCCTCTGGACTCCACATTTTCTTTAAGGACAGAAGGCGTGGAGGACGGCTTTACCCCATGGCCTTCTGTTGCGGGTTCCCGGGGCTGTGGGGGATGCCTGCTAGCAGTTCTGGGGCTGTTTGCCCCAGCCTGGGTTTTCTGCTTCTGGTCAGTTATTTTTCATCCATCTCGTCTGCTTACTTTCCACATTTGCTGGCGTGTTTTCGGATCTATTCCATTGGTCAGGGCTCCTTGTTCTTGTGGCCATTTTCTTTTCGGCATGTTTCCTCGCTTGGCCACCAGGGTGGCGCTGCGGTTTGTTTACATGTGCCTGGGTGTTCGTACTTGCGTTTTGGGTGTGTTTTTCACCTCCTTCAGGGGTTTTATCCTCCTGTTGCCATGTCTTTGCTTTTCCGGGGTGTTCTGCCCATCTTTTGATCCTCTGCGAATGCTTGGGTGCTGTTTTTTGCACCGGTTTTTCGTTTTCTGTCTGTTTGGGTCTGGGCCCTGGGGTTTGGGCTCAGTGTTCCTGTTTGTTTATGCTTGCTCCCACACCTAGTCCCTCTGTTTTCGGTCCATTTTGGCCGTTTCCCTGGGTTTCTGTCGGGGTGCTGTGCTTTGTCCTTTTCGTGGTGTATTTCTGCCAGAAGATGTGGTAGTTTGGGCTCCCCTAGGTTCGATTTCAGGTTCCTTTGGGTTCTTTGGTTTTGTTCCAGAGGTTTCTTACTCTTGGGCCCCCTTTGTGGGTTCAAAGGCTTTTAGTAACCTCATGTGTGATCCAGTTCTGCCTTTTGGGGTTCCGGGGTCTTCCTGGATTGCAGGCTGATCTTTTTGGGTCTTTGCACGTGTTGTGGTCGTGCCGGGGCCATGGGTTTTTGTTGTCGAGGTGGGCCTTTTGGTGCAGTTTTTGTGCTCTTTTGGTGCCTTCTTTATCTGGCCAGCGTGGTGCTCTCTGCCCACCTGTCGGTGGCTTGTCATTGTCTTTTCTTTCTTTATTTTTGTCATGTGTATGTATGTATGTTTTTATACATTTTGTGTGTATGTGTATGAATATATATATGTATATTTTTTTTTATTATATAGGAATATATAATATATATATATAAATATATAATATATATATATAAATATATAATATATATAAATATATAATAAATATATATATATATATATATATATATATATATATATATATATATATATATATATATATATATATATATATATATATATATATATATATATATATATATATATATATGTCGTACCTAGTAGCCAGAACTCACTTTTTGGCCTACTATTCAAGGCCCGATTTGCCTAATAAGCCAAGTTTTCCTGAATTAATATATTTTCTCTAATTTTTTTCTTATGAAATGATAAAGCTACCCATTTCATTATGTATGAGGTCAATTTTTTTTATTGGAGTTAAAATTAACGTAGATATATGACCGAACCTAACCTAACCTAACCTATCTTTATAGGTTAGGTTAGGTTAGGTTGCCGAAAAAGTAAGGTTAGGTTAGGTTAGGTAGGTTAGGTAGTCGAAAAACAATTAATTCATGAAAACTTGCCTTACTAGGCAAATTTGGCCTTGCATAGTAGGCTGAGAAGTGAGTTCTGGCTACTAGGTACGACATATATATATATATATATATATATATATATATATATATATATATATATATATATATATATATATATATATATATATATATATATATATATATATATATATATATATATATATATATATATATATATATATATATATATATATATATATATATATATATATATATATATATATATATATATATATATATATATATATATATATATATATATATATATATATATATATATATATATATATATATATATATATATATATATATATATATATATATATATATATATATATTTATATATTTGCACCAGAGGTGGTACCCCTTCTAGGTTTTTGAAAAAAAAAAAAAAAAAAAAAAAAAAAAAATATATATATATATATATATATATATATATACAGTGGTACCTCGCATAACGAATTTAATCCGTTCCATGTTCGTCAT